AACAAGAACAGGTTACCCCGAAGCTGTCTTCACATAAGACTCTTTCACGAGAGGACCTTACAAAAACACTACTCCCAGGAGGACCAATAGCCATCTTTTTTAATTAACTCATTCTGTTGAAGATATTCCATTAAAAAAGAAAGAAAAAAAAAAAGAAGTTTGGAGAATATGAAAATCCAACACATTTTTTTTCTTGTCAGATGCTGAGAAGAAAAAGTCATCTATTACTTTTTAGATGCTACAGAAAATTTCTAAAACATGGTCATCTCTGGTGTACATTTGCATTGGAACGTCCCAGGGAGTTACTTGCCCACATGCAAGCAGTAAGATTTATGGACAATGCAACACCTGAAGGTGCCAAAAAGTTCCCCCACCACTCCGCAGCCACCTGCTACATAAAACAGGCATGGAAAGGTGAACAACATGGGGCCTTTTGCCCAATAAAAGTGATTAACATTTAATTCATTATATCTTCAGAAAAAAATGCCCTTTAGATGCTCTTATCAGGTTATATATATATTAAACTATCTGAGAGGTACAGCAAAAGCTGTTGGTAGCATATAGTTGCCTTAGCACATCAAGGAAAGTATGTAAAACAGAGAGGTTCCCAACACCACAAAATCACTGTATCCTCTACAAAATCAGAGCAACAGTAAGCAGAAAAAAATTCAAATAATTGGATTCTGCTAATCTGTGGGGACAGGGACTTAATACTGCATTTAATTTTGCTAAGTGGAAGGAAGATTATTGCAGGCAAGATACAAAGAATAGTCTCTGCTAAAATTGTGTAACATTTACAAGCCTAAATACTCTAAGACAGTTATTAATAACTGTATCAGAACATTTCCATGTATTCAATGCACAGTTATGAAGGAATCTAAACATACAGGCCTCCTCCCAATGCAGACAATAATAATAATGATAATATTTACATTCCTCTATTCACTTGTTTTCCAATAGTATTTAAAAAAAGTATCTATGAACTTGCTGGATAACATATGCCAACCTTCTATGAAACTGCAGAAAGTGTGGGTTTAAGCATTTTACTTCACTTTCAACAGAGTGAAGTAAACCACTCACTGGGGCAGAGCTATTCTCTTTCCAGAGTTTTTAACAGAAAAGCTGAAATCTATTCTCTCTGAGTCTCTGTGTCACAGTGAAGGACTTGTTGGGACCTGCCCTTTTTCACAGCCCACAATTCCCGCGGGAAGAAGCAGTTTAACTAATATCAGAAAATTTTCATATGTAGTATTTCCATGTGTTACTTTGCTGTTTTGAAACTCAGATTCTTCCACATTGTTATTTTTTCAATAAATTAATGTTTGTTTTTATCTTTCTGATGATGCCTTAAGCCCCTATTAGTTTTTTATTTTTCTAATTTTTGTAAGTTTTATAAGTAGGTTTTAAAAGCAGCAGCCCTCACTCCCTTTCCCTGTAGTACAAGTAGTTTACACATTCCTTAACCCTCTTACCCCATTCTATGCTCCCCATATCAAATCCACCCCTGAATTCAGTGGCAGTGTTTAGTCTCTTGTCAAGGCAAGGCCTATACTGTTTAGAGAACACCATATCTAGGCCTGAACAACAGAACAGAGTCAAGAACTAGGTGACTATGTACCCTTTGTGCTCTGAAGATGGTGATGGTGATGAAAAGGTGGCCCCGAAATACACCCCAGACTCAATTCTAAGGGGGTGGACCCGGGGCGGACCTGAGCAAAGGCTACAGAGTGGACACACTTGGGATTGGACAGATAATATTATAAAATGTAACATCTCGAGCACAGCGGGCCTGCGCGTCTTGTAACATCTATTGCCTTGGTACAATTAAACCCTTTCCTTATCTCACCCCTAATTAACTGCTCCTGAGTTTTTTTTCCTTTAGCACCAGCCGAGCAGGCATCACTGAAATGTGAAATCAGTGTTTATAACAACAACGGTTTGGTGTTTACAAAAACTATTTTAAATTTTGATGGAGATCAAAACACTTTTCCGTAAAAACAAAACCTCCCCCTACAAACCATTTATTATCTGCAACACACTCAACTTGATCCCACATTCCCAGAATATCAATTAATTCACTCATTATTACTAAGAAAGGTGCTGTACTTTTTAAAAAGAATTTCCTTTGAAGTAAATATCCTTCTGAAGAAAGGATAATATGTTAGTGGAAAAGACAAAATAAGCACATTCTGTCACTGCAATTTTTTTTTAACACTGTAATATTACAGCAAATCTTATGAAAGCATTTGGAATCTTCCACGCAATAGTGGTTCCTGTAATACTTTACTCTTCCTTCATGATAGGCTGCTGGAGGAGCCTAACAGCACCAACAGAGGTTAAATATGGAATTATCCAACTGCTGGGATTGTTGGGAGATAACCCAAACCTAGACACATCTGTTTACCAAAATTCAGTCTCCTGTGTGAGATAGCAGAGCTGCAACATTCCTCCTCAGTCACTGAGCTCTGACAACTTACCAGTTTTACCTGGCACAGGACATGACAATCAATTCCAAAACAACTCAAAACTAAAATTAAAAGGATCCGCAAGTTAAGGAAAACAAAATCTATTTGTCCCACAAGCATTTTCCATAATCTTCATTACATAACTTGAAGAAAATGCATTGCTTTTTCAAATATCCACTCAAAATATGCTGATGGAGGTCTCTCATGTGATTAATTTTGCTTTCTCTCCCTCATTTGTGTAATTCTATAGCACATTATCACTCTAATGTCTAAATTACCTGCGTAAATAAAACCTAGACTGAAAGAGATTACTTTTTTCTTCTGTCCCTCACAGAAAAGAGATCTGATTCTTCAAACACTGGCACAGAGTTTCTCATTTTTTTCACTCCATTAATACATTTGTGTGGTTAAATCAAATTAAATCTAGGCAGTATTTTTACACTAACTAACATGTGCAACACTGAGTTTTCATCATCATCTGATTGATTAATTAAAAAATAACTTTGTGTGCCTCTGTTAATTAAGAGGTTTGTGGTTTATTACTTTACACCTGTAAGAATATAAGCACATTTTCTGAATTAAAAAGACTGTTTAATTTTCAAATCTTTCTGTTTTCTTCTTGTGATGGATCAGTTTTAGTCACTAAGGGACTTTCCTGTATACCTTAGAAAAAAGTTTGTGTCTATATGTATATACAAACAAGGGTGCACTTTAATGAAAAAAGGTCTGTAAAAACTACTAAAACTCAAAAGCTTTGAATAAACATTTTGGGTGAAGCAAAAGATGAACATAAAAAGATATTTTCTAGTGATCTACCTTGAAAATTAAAACTAGCACCCCATAAGAAAAATGAAGTGTTCTTCTGCCTCTTTAACAGCAGCCCGCTATTGCTGAAAACCAACATAGCTGATGTTTAAACCAATGTAAAGCTCAGCTTCATGATCTGTAATTATTTTGTCTTTGCACCGCTAAATGCAATTATGAACAACTCATTCATCAATATAAAAACACAATTTAAGATTCTAAGGGAACAGATATGGAAAGGATTTGTTTTCACACAGTTCTCTTCATCAAGATGTGGTTTAACAACACTATCGATAAACAAGTGTACAATCTAAAGCAGGCACGCCAACATCCATGTTTAATTTCATCTGGGGAATCCTCTAATATTTCATTTATAATGCTATAAAAACATGTCTCAAAGTAACGAGCGAGAGTGTGAGGGGTGAATATGACAAAACTACAGCCATCCCAGCCTCCCAAAGTTCACTCATTAACCGTGTACCATCTGAAGGCTGCTGAAGCACAAGTATTTGTGCTAAATGGGCAAGAAAGCACCAAAGCTCTCTTTGCAAAGGAGACCACTCTAGCCAAGCACGGCGATGCGCTGGGTTTCAGAGCGTGGCTTTGGTCTGCGTCCCTTTCTCACAACCTTGGGGCAACGCCTGCGGCGGCTCAAACCACGCTCCTCGCAACCACCCAAACTTCCCCAAACCTGTCTGACACCTGTTGGGTTTCTCCAGTTCCGGGAGAAAGGCGCGAGGGCACGGCAGGCACAGACACAAACACATTTCAAACCCGCAGCAAATAAGATCAGGAATTCAAATGAGGTAACTGGAGGCGTGTGATTGAGATACTCGATCTCTATCTACGCTGAACAACCACGGCGTCCTTCTCCTCAGGATTATGTAATGCACGGAGAGTATTTAAACACCCCCCTGTTTGACACAGTCATGTCAAACAGATCAGCTTTAGGGAGGATCAGCTGGGGGCGGGGGCCAGGAATTCGGCAGTTCACGGTTATGAACCACCACCCCTCTTGGGAAGGAATCCCACCAAAGCCTTGAGGGTCCTCCCCCAAGAACAGGCAGGGGAGACCCGGCCCGGGCGTTGTGCCACCATTTCTATCTCAAGCAAGATCGGCTTCACAACACCTGCGTGGCAAAGAACCTGCCCGCTCCTGCGAGATTGTGCGGGCTGCAAATCAGGGCATGGACTCGCTCCTGCAGGGCAGGGGTTCCCGAGGGGGAGCTGAGAGCCTGTTACCCCTTCAGAGCATCGCTGGGAAAGGGGCAGCCCCGCAGGGAAAAGCTCGGTGACTCCTTAGAGTGTCCCTGTGCTCTTTTGGGACTTTGGCCCCTCGCACCCTCTGTTTGCTGAGTTTGGTGAGACATGTATAGCTGCACCAAAGAAGTGCTGGCATCAAGATGACACAACACTTCGTTTGTGGGATGCTGCTCTTCGGGCACCCCACTGAAATTCGGCTTGCAGTCACTGGGGGAAAAAAAGAGTCAGGGAGGAGGGAAAAGTCACTGCAGAGGACAAAAAAGCCACCGGCTTCGCCGATTTCTGAGTGGCTGCTGCCCTTCCCAGCGCTCCAGGAGCTCCAGGAGCGGGAGGAACTCCCCGTGGGGGCCAGAGCCCGTAGTGACACCGTGACCCCTCCGGGAAGATGCGAGGGGGGTGGCAGCGCCCGGCTTTCCTCCCCCCCTCCCCCTCCTCCTCTGGGGCGCGGGGCGGCCGTCGGGGCGGTACCTGCTTGTCCAGCGCAGCATCCTTGGCACTGCCGGCCGAGCATCCCTTGGGAGCCGGCACCCGCTCACAGTTGCAGCCCTCCAGCATGTACATGCCGGCGGGACGGGCGCTCTGCTCACCCTCGAAGTAGAAGAGCACGTTCTGGTAGAGGGCGAACCACTTCTCGTGCCAGCGGTTGGTCTCCGCCGTCTTCTTGCTGAGATAGCCCCGTTTGGTGCCCTCCTTGCGGGCCAACAGCGCCAGGTACAGGGCATGCCCCTCGTTGTACCGCACGCTCTTCTGCATCGTGCCCGGACCCGCGGCCGCTCAGCAGCTCCGCGGCCGCTCCTCATGGGCTCGGGCAGCACCGACGGCGCGGCCCCGGCCCCGGCCCCGCGCTACGCCCGCCCTCGGGGGCCGAACCGTGTGTTCCCCGCGGCCCCCGCCCCGCCCCGCCCCACAACACCTCCCACCGCTCCGCAGCAGGAGCCGGAGCGGGCGCTGGCGGCGGGAGCGGTCCGCGGGCAGTGACGCGAGGGATCAGCCGTAAATCCGCTTTGGAGAGCGATTTAAAGAGCAAAGTCGCCGCCGCCGCAGCGCCCAGGTCCCTGCCCCCCTTCTCCCTTCCCCCATCCTTGCATCCCTCTCTCCCTGCATCCCCCTATCCCTGCATCCCTGCATCTCTCCATCCCGCTATCCCTCCGTCCCTCCCTGGGGGTGGATGGAGCGGGGGTTCGGGCGGTGAAACCCGCGGGCAGCGGTGCTCTCGGCCGGCCGGGACGGGCTGTGAGCCTCCGGGTTATTTGGGGCCGCCCGTGGGTTTCTCGACAGTTTCCGCCTTTCCGATTCTTCGAGCGAAAATCTTAGAAAGTGACAGGGCCGAGCGAGCGCGGCTGCCGGAGCCGGCAACTTCCCCTTCGAGCGAATTGCAGCGAAATGCAGCAGTGAAATACAAGTGAAATATCAGAAACCCGTCACTTTTAACCCGATACTCGCGCTGGTTAAAGCCGCGGGGGGGGGGGAGGGGGAGCGTCGCAGATGTCACCCCGTGGAACCGCATCCTCCCGAGCACCGCGTGGCGCGCAAAGACCACCCCGGCTCGGGGTGCGGGGGGCTCTGCCTGTGCCGGGGATCGCTTGAGGCACGCTGGGACCATTTTTAGATCCCAGCTGGCGGCTGTAACACGCAGCATCGCGGGCGGGGACGCGAGTGCAGGAGGAGGGTGCATGGGGACCGCCGAGCGGAGGGGGCGGCTCAACACATGCCGAAAGAAAAATGTGCGAGGAGTTACGCGGGTTTGTTTTCGCACTGGGTTAGTCAGGATGGCAGCAGGTACGATCCGGTTCCTGCACTCAGGACAGTGGTACCTCCACGCCTTAATTACAGCAAATAAATTTTGGCGAGAGAGCTGGCAGGAAAAATTATTTTACATGAAACATAAGCAGTATGGAACTTTCTACCAACCAGAGCACCCTGCACCTTTGATTTAGCAATTTAAACTTCCTCTTAAGGTTCTTTCAGGAAAAGGCATTTGGAGCTGTTTCATCTGATAATGTGTTTTTCTTCTGTAGCTTTCTATCTCTTTGGCTTTATTAAGTCTTAGGAGTCAAAAAATAACAGAAAATTCATTCTGGTACTGACTGTTCAAAAAAAAGTGAAAATTACAGTATTGCTTTATAATGCTCAGAGTTAGAAAATATTCCTTGTGTAATCTGCGTCAGCAATTGTGTTTTTTAGTATTATTTACAGGAACTCTGGACCTATGCAGAGGTGTAAGGCTCTTGTCCTGTCAAAAGAAAATTTCATAATAGAAAAAACAAACAGATACACAAATCCTTCTGGAACTGAGTGTCACATAGAAATTTGAGCTTAACAGGTCATGTCTAGGGAAGTCCAGGTTTTGGACAGGGATTGGATACCGTACCTGTGACTGGAATGTGTGAGATGAGTTGTGTTCCTGCATCTCAGTGACCAGGGTCTTACTAGCCTCTTTCAATGCCTGGGTTCCACTCAGATGCTGCTGTCCAAGTCAGTGGTTTAATTCAGTGTGTAAGATTCCATGGAATATCCTATCTCTTGGATTTGGTGCAAGCAAATGGCAAGGCTGCTAAACCAAGAGAGAGAAGCAGACTGCCACTCCAGAGAGTGTTCAGATGTTTGACACCCAGTGAATACTCACAGCTTTCCAAAACAAGCACATTGTACATCACGACCAAATGCTGCAGCAAGAACACATCTTTGCCAAGATAAAGTTGCAAGCTTTTGTCCCAACTTACATAATTTGTGCTTTAATAAAGCTTTTGCATGAATCACAAATGATCACACATCATCTATTCCACCAGACTACCTGAGACACACAGAAAAAAATAAATGACAGGAGTTAATTTTTATCTGTAAATAAAGTGAGGGTTTCCTTTGACTACATCATTTTCTCCAAGACATGCAGGCATTTTTCCTAAGCTGAAAATGTGGAATATGTCATTGCATAGCAATCCGTAGGAATTACAGGGAGTCAAATGTTCATGTTCACTACAGTGAACACTGTTCATGTAGCTATCAGTTTGACCTTTATTGTTGAAGTACAATTTAGTTCTCCCAATGATATTTTCTTTATTACTTGATCATTTTTATACAAGGACAACCTAAGTTTTATTACTTCAAATATCTATTACATATCTGTGAAAAGTATATGCTATCTAACATGTAAATGTAACCATATATGATTTTAAAAAATTTCTTCATTAGCAACAATAAAGAAGGGGTTGTTTGTGCTTTTTAAAAAAGTAAAATGCTATGCCAAATTCATATATATGAACACAAATGAGTTATATGTGTAAATAGATGTAAAGGAATCTGGGATGAAATTTATTCCATAGGGCTCTGAAGAAAAAGAACATACAGATAAGCACACTGGTTTACTTTATTTTATATCTTAACCTTCACTTTATTGTATTTTAATTCCAGAGGATTCATTTATAGAGCTACATTCCCAAGTCTTGTCATCATAGGCCCCTAGGAGATTTGTGTAGAACTATGGTGGAAAGCTGTGGTCCTGTCTCAGCAGAGAGGACCCCATTAGTCTGCATTTACCCTGAATTTCCCATTGGGACCTAGTCCAGTGTGTTCAAAGCTGTCATAAACAGGGAAATAGATAGTGTTCTACAGCAGTGGAATTGCTGAATCTAATGCCCAGAAGTGCTTGGGGGGCAAGTCAGCGAGTTGTCACTCTTTTGGATGACAGGAAAATCTACTTTAGAAACTGCATAAAATTTAGGCCTCTATTCTGAAAAACACTTTTAAAAAAACACTGTTAATGTAATGGTAATAAAAACCATTGAAGCAATGGAAAAAAATTAGTTATGCTATTATTTTCATGTCCGGGTTTGTATGTATTTGCTCTAAATTTTTATATGCTTATTTGTCACTAAATTATTGTTTATATTTTAATGCCAAGGTACCAAATACAAAATAAATTTGTAACGCTGTTAAACAGCTGCTCTATAACTTATGGGGAAAAAAACCTTGTGTTTCACTAAGAATATACCTACATGTCTCCTCTTAGAATCATAGAATAAATCGGGTTGAAAAAGACCTCCGAGATCATCAAGTCCAACCCTTGATCCAACATTCCCATGGTTACTAGATCATGGCACTAAGTGCCACATCCAGTCTCATCTTAAAAACCTCCAGGGACAGTGAATCCACCACCTCCCTGGGCAGCCCATTCCAATGTCTGATTACTCTCTCTGTAAAAAATTCCATCCTAATATCCAACCTAAACTTCCCCTGGCACAGCTTAAGACTGTGCCCTCTTCTCCTACTGCTGATTGCCTGGGACAAGAGACTGACACCCACTCGGCTCCCCCCTCCTGTCAGGGAGTTGTAGAGAGTGATGAGGTCTCCCCTGAGCCTCCTCTTCTCCAGACTAAACAACCCCAGCTCCCTCAGCCTCTCCTCATAGGACCTGTGCTCAAGTCCCTTCACCAGCCTCGTTGCTCTTCTGCTCCAGCACTTCAGTATCCTTCCTGAAGTCTTCTTATAGATTGTCTGAAAAGTAGAACTGAACTAATATCTTCTCTGGAAGTTTACTTAGTTTTGCTGATAAAAGTGTTTACTCCTCCAAGCATAGAGTATAATTTGGCTATTTGAAAGGCATTTATAATATTCAGCTATGATAAAGCAGGAAAATTTTCAAACCTGTGTTATACATTATTGGTATAGTAAGTCCTGAATATCTTGAAATTAATGGGAAACACTCATGTATGGAAATGCAATTTACCTTTTATAGATCACCTTTTGAATTACTACAAACAATTTTGGGCTTAATACAGCTCCTGATGTGGTTCGAGAAGATTTACTATTCCTATTTTATGCAGACATTTTTTTGTGGGAATTGCCTTGTTTAACCAGTTTTAGATCATTGTGAACACCAGTTCGTGGTAATTCATTCCTCGTGGAATTACTTGTGACTACAATACCTTTTGGTGGTATGAGAAAGGTAATGGCACAGGTGTCCGTGAGACTCCCTCCTTCAGGAATCTCGGGCCAATACTCAATGGGAGGTTTCAACAGAAGGCAGGCAACTGCAGGTCATTTACCTGTTATGCAGGTGAGGGTGTCACCATCATCATCACCATCACCACCATCACCACCACCATCATCATCATCATCATCAATCAACATCATCATCATCATTTTTTATTATCATGCCTAACCTCTTACTTCTAAATGCTGCGTAAACACCAGAAAAATATCCAAGCCAAGAACAATTTAACCTAAGACCAAGATTAGGTCCCCAGAGCCAGTCAAAAAATGTACAAGGACTAGTCAATACACTGCCTGTTGTGACAGGCAGCAGCATCCTCAGGACACAGCTTGCATGTTTGTTGCTGGGATTTAGGGAGAAGAATAGCAAAATAAGGTTTTAGAGGAACTCTTGAAAGAAACAGTTTGGTGTGTCTACAGAGGTCATTGGGGAATTCTTGTCTGTGGTCAATGATAGAATGGGAAAATACAAAGGACTGTTGAAAAGAAATGGAGAAAAAGAATGTGTGGCAGAAGGTGTCTCACAGGCAGGCTGGAGAAAATCAAAAGCAGAAGGGGAAAAAAAAAAGGAGAAAATCTGGAATCAAGGGACTCAATTAAATTGAAAAAATACTGCTATTTAGGCAGGAGGCAAAAGCAAGTGGGTTGAGGAAGAATTCAGCCTGGCTGGCAGAGTGATAGTAATGAGCATACAGTGCAGAGGAAACCAGTGTGAGTGATCAAGGGTTGGGAACAGCTGGGAATTGCTGAGCATGTCTAGGGGTTAGCAGGACACGCAGGAGGAATAGAGG